AGTCTTCTCAGGATAGACAGATCAAGGGGAGAATAGAATGGTCCTCAGCCAGGGCAAGGGAATAACCCAGCAGGGAGCCAGGTAGCACTCTTCTTAGACTACATAGGCATCCTCTGGCCCACACCAGTGGTGGGGCAGCTAGAGCCTAGGCTTCATCATGGATTTGAAGGGTTCTCTGGAAGAGAAAAGTCAAGTGGTTAAAAGTCAGGGAACTTTTAGGGAACATCCATTTCCAAACTTAACAACACCCCTGGCCCTGGTTAATGAGAAAAGGGATTTTTTCTGTAATTCAGGGGTTACCCACTGTTAAGCAATTTCTCCCAAGAGGTTTGCCAATTCAGCAGACAGGGGGAGGCTGGGTCTTCTGGGCCTACTTGAGACAAAGGCCCAATGGGGAGGTCAGACTAAGGAGTCTATAATTGGGGTCATGGTTAAGGAGGGATGAATAAGTGAATGGTGACCCTTTGGGGGAACTTAAAGAAAGTGAAGGAAGAAAAGTGGAGCCCCCCCCCCGCCATGTTTGTGTCTTGATTTATTTTGTCCTGAATGTCAGCCTAGGTACAGAGATAGTAGGACATTGTGTGACTTCTATTCCAGGTCACAGCTTCTGAATGAGGGTGACCAGTAGTGAGGAAGCAGAAACAAATAATAATAAAACATTAACAAAATTAAAAAAAAAAAAGAAATACAGATTGTTACAAGATGCTGAAGACAGAATAAATTCAACTGACTCTAAGAGGCATTGAGAAAAAAGGATGAAAGAACACAAGAGATCCCAAATAAAATGCAAAAAATAAAAACAATAAGAGAAAATGATTAATTAGGAAGATGGACAAAGAAAATCTAAATAAATGAATATAATTGGAATTCTTAAAACCAAACAAGGGTTATCAATATTAAAAATTATAATTAGAGGACACATTTCATCAACAAAAGAAAACCTAGAGATGCCTATGTGGCTCAGTCTGTTGAGTGTCTGATTCTTGATCTCAGCTCCAGTCTTGATCTCAGGGTTGTGAGTTCGAGTCTTGTGTTGAGCTCTGTAATGGGTATGAAGCCTACTCAATACATACATACATATGTACAAACATACTAACATACATACCTGAATCCATGTAAAAAGGGACCACCATAGTGACCCAGAAGAGCCTCAAAAATCAGATGCTTGATGTCCTCACTTATTTCTTCACCTTCTCACACCCACTCGCTAATGATTTTCAGGAACTTAATTCTTCCCAAGCTAGAACACTGGACAGACACTACACAAATTGATGGGTATGTTTCTAGAGAATGCCATTTTAATGGTATCATTTTAGGGTTAGGAACACCTTCCTTAGGATAGAGCCTTTCTTGAATTTGTATTTTGTGCCCATTCTAATTATATTTAGACCCATGTGCATTTCTTGGTGGTAGGTATTGCACTCAGCACCTAAACCCAACCCTTGCATTCCAGATAACTTCCTATAACTTCTTAATTAGGGACCCTGGGTTTGTTATGAAACATACAACTAGAAGAGGCACAGGTGGGACATACTTTGGGAGTGAAGGCATCAGTATGGACCCATTTGTGAGCACTGGGGGCAGCCAAAGGATGAAAATGAGTCAGGAGTGGGCAAAAACATGATATATGAGATGGGGAAGATACTTCTAGAGTCCTTCCATCTGCACTGACATAGAGAAGGAGCATGTTTGGAGCATGAGAAGAGAACAGGTAATGCACAAGCCATGATAACCTTGAGGCCATGTGTTTCTCACAGACAGACCAGCCTGATCAATGATTCCTCTCAGGCTGGAACCTGGCCTTCTGGAGATCCAGGTCATTGCACAATTTACATCTGCTCCCTCCTCCGCTTCCATGAGAGTCAAGGTCTTCCAAGGGTCCCCACTCCTCCGCTCGACCTGCCACAGGGGCACACAGTTGTTCCACAGCACAGAACTCGCGGTGCTGGCCAGGCAAGCACGCCTCCCAGCCAAAGCAGCCTAGGTGTGGCCTCTCAGTCCACTGAGTAGGAGTGGAGTGCCCAGAGAGCTCTGGGGAACACGGGCCAGGACACCAGTTATCACAATGGAGAAGACCAGCAGCTTCCAGTAGAATTCATAGTCCGGGGTGCGCACACTGGTGGCAAGGAATAGGTCAGCTGGCAGCATACTGTACCCACACGGGAGGGAGCACTGGTCATGGACGTGGGAGGTCATTCCCTATGTGGGCCCTGGCAGGTGACTTTGCCTCTCTTACTAGTCTCTCCCAGGGTGTTGGGGGTCATGGCCAAGCACCGGCAGAGTGCTGCTTGCAGAGTCAGGCTGTCCGAGGAAGCACCACGTACATGCTCCCACACAGCACGCCCTTACCGCCCACCTACATCTGATGATGTCTGTGCTGCTGGTTGGTCACGCTCTCCTTCCTCTGGGCTCCTGGTCCTAGCTCCCAGGATAGGTGGAGAAGCTCCTCCAATACCAGGAGCCCTGGGACGCTTCTGAGGTGGCCAGAGACCCTGGCTTGAGAGAAGCAGGTTTCCACTCCGGACAGTCCTCACTGATGCCCAGCAGGAAGTGCTGCCCTGGAGTGTAACACTGCACCCCTGCCTCCAGCAAGCCCTGCCAGCCCGCCTGAGTTCTTCACACTTGACTCTGTTTCTCCTTTGGGGACATGTGACCTAGTCCCTGGGTTAGTCCAAGGACTACCTCAGAGGAGCTGTGCTTGCACAGAGTAGTCAGGAGTCTATACCACAGTGACTAAAGTCCACTGATTCATCATGAGACCACGGGCGACACTTAGTGGCCAATTAATTCTTGGTAGCATCACCATAAACAACCTGTTTCCTATCACTTGGCTTCTCACTGGATTAAAAATGAGAGAGAATGAGACCATAGGAGGGGGGGTGGGGAAAGGTGGGGACCACTCATTTGATGGAAGGCGCTGGAGTCTCAGGTCCTGGCACTCCATTCCATGCCCCCTCACAAAAGGGGCCATATTGATGGAGGATGGGGTGGGAGATGATAGTGTAGGCACTCACTTCCACACCCATGGTCTCACCGTAATGGAGGAGCAGCGAGGAAACAGGAGGTGCAGACAAACAGCCTCCTCTAGCCACAACTTGACCTCTCTCACTCTTGGCCTTGAACATGTCACTTAACCTCCCTGGGATTGACCTTCTTCATTGTAAGGACAGTAGTCTGAACCTCACAAGAAGAATGAGAACAGAATGGAGGTAGATTAAATTTAAGAGGTCTCCTTGGGTGCCTCCTACTCTGTGCCCCAAAGTATAGCCTCACCTACCTCATTTTTAACTTGGCGCTTCTGACTCCTGGCTGAGGAGTGTTCTGGTTCGCACTGGGAGATACCGCACATGAGCAGTTTCTCCCCTGGCAGTACTGCTTCAGTGAGCAGATCAACAATAAAGCTGGGCCTCAGGGCCTTGGCAGGGGAGCAGGGGCCAATGGGAGAGAAAATAGGAAGTATGACAAGTATATCAGAGCCCTGGACTCAGAGAATGGGACATTCTGGAGTCTGCACCGGATCCTCAATGATTACAGGCACAAGGAGTAAAGTAGGCAGGTCTGTGGACATTTGTTCTGGTTTATTTGACAGGAACAAGCAGTTCAGACAGGAGGGAGGGTGCATTCCTCTAGACACCCTGGTGCCGGGGATCTGAGGTCCTGGTGTCTTGGTCTGCCTAGAGGGGTGGGGGAGCAGGATGCACAAAACAGCCCCCCCACCCACTCCCTAGAGGCTCATGCAAATATTTCCACAGAAGGTTGAACAGCATATGTTATTTGCTTGACAATCTTGGTGATATTCACATGGACGTCTGCACATATATATGTTGGTGTGTTTTTCACAAACCTTGACTTCATTGAAGAGCTCTGTCTCTGAAACAGAGCAGGAGCAGGGTCAGTGGAACCAGACCCCTAGGGAGCACATGTCTCAAGCTTAAAGCCCCTCCAAGGACCCCAGTACCCAGGTCCCACTTATGAAGCTCTTAAGCTTTTCAAGGAACTCACTTTCTGCCCTTTACCCAATCCTGGTAGTATCTTAAATCCTATATCCCTCAAATTTAGCCAACGGATCTCAATGCCTGGCCTTCCTTGGCCTCTCCATTCCCTGGAGCCAAGGACCTGTCTCCCTTGTAAGTCATGGCCTTGGTGAAGTCACCCCCATAGAGTCTAACCTCTAAGAACTCAGCAAAGTCTGAGACATCCTGCAGACCCTCTCACTCCCCAGGATTTGCAGGGTCCAGATTGGGAGATGACTTGCCACTTTGCCCCCTCTCTCCTGTGCCGGTCACTGTGTCCAGGACCCCTCTCGCTTCCCAGAAAATACCACTTTCACTATTTCCCTTCCACTGCCACCATCCTGGTCCCTCTGATGAGAACTCTGACTTGACCCTGTACACCCCAAAACTTGCTTTCATTCTGTACCTCCTCCCATCAATATTTCAGGATGTTTACATGTCACATATACGCAGAAATCCAAGAATAGTTGTTTGGTTTCCTCAAGTGATTCTCAGCCCTCAGTACCTTTTACTACTATATGTACCATTTGTGTCTGGGTATTTGGAATGGAGAATCGAAAGACAAAGTTTCCCCCTCCACCCCCATCATCATTCCCAGTGTTGAGTAAAGGGGCCAGAGGGTTATAGTTTTGGGGGGACCCAGAGTCTTCACAGTGCTGTGGTCAGAGCAGGATGTGATTTAAGATTCAGGTCCTCCCCAGAAGGCACACAGCCCCTCCTGGCCCCCTTCCCTCCCCACCCCCTTAGTCCATCACCTACTCTGCATCCCGTTCAGTTTACGGTGCCCTCCCTGGGCCTGTAGCAGCAGCACAGAGAGGAGCAGGAGGGGCAGCAGAGCCTGGGTTGGCATGCCTCTGGCCAGAGTAGAGGGCTCGCAGTCTGGGAGAGACTTCCCTGGAGAGCTGGGTGGTTGTCCCGGGCTCCTCCCTGCCTCCGCTGGCCAAACAAGGAACCTTTCCCCTCCTCCCGTATGTCTGCCCCTGACCATGGCCTGTTCTCTGGGACTTGGGCTTCTGTAGATGACCCCTCCTCCTACACGATTTACTCTCTCCTTTGCAAACAATTCTTCTTACTTTCTAATTAGAAGATAATTTGCAGTAAAAAGGAGAAAGATATAATTGAAAAAATTGTCATAATCTAACTGCAGAGAATTAACCTGTGCCTCTTTGTATTACCATTCTATTTTTTGCATATTTAACATAAATTATCTATTGTTTTCTCACATTTGGGATCACTGACCTTTTGTTACCCATCTTTTCCCATCCTCATCTAATCAGGAATAATTTACCAGTATGGTTTTCCATAAGTACACATGTCTCACTTAGAATAAATATCTGTTGTTGCGGCGCCTGGGNCTCTCCCTCCCTCTCTCTCTCTCTCTCCCTCTGTCTCTCTCACTGCCTCTCCCCTTGCTTGTGCTGTCTCTTTCCCAAAATTAAAAAAAAAAAATTTTATGCATAATGCAATAATTTATTGCATTTAGTATAATTTAGTAAATTTATTTATTTTTTTTATTTTATTTTTTTTTTATTTCTAGGAGAGAGAGAGAGAGAGAGAGAGAGAGACAGCGTGAGCAGGGGAGGGTCAGAGAGAGAGGGAGTCACAGACTGAAACAGGCTCCAGGCTCTGAGCTGGCAGTCAGCACAGAGCCCGACGCGGGGCTCGAACCCACGAACCGCGAGATCATGACCCAAGCGAAAGTCGGACGCTTAACTGACTAAGCCACCCAGGCGCCCCTAAAAGAATTTTTAAAAAATTATCTATTGCCAAGCATTTGCCTTGTTCTAATTACTGATTATCTAGACAGTATATTATGTTGAGCATTTTCAACCATAAATCTTTATTTTTTAGACTAATATAAGAGAGATGGAACTTATGGATGTAAGAGTTAAGTAGGCATTTCAAGTAGAAGTAAATAAATGCACACATACATACCTGTTTACCTCTACAGATGCACACACACACGGAGAGACAAACAGAGAGAGGAGGAGTAAGTTTTGTAATTAAACATGTCTACGTATGTTGAACTCAACAGAGGATGAGTGTCAATTTCTTCAAATGTTGTAAGGCACCACAGTATAAATCAGGAGATGTTGTGGGGGAATCAGCCCTCTATTGTCTATAAAAATTTGAGTAGCAGAGGTGTGTTCATAGGTTTTGTGCTTGTGCTAAGGCAGACAAGAAGTTGAAACCTGATTCCAATATTTGCCAGCTTCGTAACACTGGGACAATCCTAAGACCTCTATAGACTTCGTTTACTCATTATTTCTTGGCACCTCCACTGTGTGGATGAAATAAGATGACATCTATAAGCACCTTCATACTACCTGGCACACAGCGGGTACTCAATGTAGTACATTTGTCTTCTCTCCAGTCTTGCTTCCCAACCACACATAGCAAGCCCCACACAAGCAAGGACTCTTACCTCTTAGTTTATACTGGGTCTTAAGACCCAGCCCTGGAACTGGACTCTTAGAAGAGAAACCTTTTGGTCCAGGAGCCAGTGGGACTTGCATGCTTATACAAGCAGATCCACTGACTCCACGTGGATTGGTGGCAGAGCCAGGAGTGGATATAGGAACCCAAAATAGCCATTTCAAATGAACTATCTCTAGTCTCTTAAAGAACAGACAATGTGGGGAATTTGTTCTGGTTTAATGGAGGGAGGGGGTGAAGTCTGCATCAGGGACATTTTCCCGTTCTATGAGGTTGAGACTCAATTACTCTACCTTGTCCTTCAACTTAAATTATTTCTTCCTGTTGACAGGCTCCACTACCTACTCCCTTAGGGGGAGCCTCTCAGCCTTTCCTTTCTCACCTGCCTCCTCTTCTCTACTTGTTCATCCTAGTGGCTGTGGGAAGATCTCCACAAACGATGTCCTCTTTCGACATTTTCTGAGTGGGATAGTTTTAGCCCAAAACACTCAACCCTCACCCTCTACTCTGAGGTCAATTGTACAGACCTCCCTATCCAAAAAGGATTCCTAAGTGATGCCACCAGCAGCCATTTTTTTCTTTGGAGGTTGGATCCTTTTAAAAATGCAAACACTGGTGCGCCTGGGTGGCTCAGTCAGTTAAGCATCTGACTTTGTCTCAGGTCATGATCTCATGGTTCGTAGGTTTGAGCCTCACATCGGGCTCTGTGCTGACAGCCAGCTCAGAGCCTGGAGCCTGTTTCAGATTCTGTGTCTCCCTCTCTCTCTGACCCTCCCCTGCTCACGCTGTCTCTCTCTCTCTCTCAGAAATAAATAAAACATTAAAAAATTTAAAAAATGCAAACACTGTATGATCTCACTTATATGTGAGTAGAAAACAAAGACAGCTGAAACTCATACCTACAAAGAACAATTTGGTGGTTGCCAGAGGTGGGAGGTAGGGTATGAACAAAATGTGTTCAAAAGGTAAAATTTTTAGTTATAAAATGAGTAAGTCCTAGAGATGTACTGTACAACATGGTGACTGTAGTTAACAGTATCGTGAGGACACCTGGCTGGCTTAGTCAGTTAAGCGTCTGACTTTGGCTCAGGTCATGATCTCACGGTTCTTGGGTTCGAGCCCTACGAGCCCTGCGTCGGGCTCTGTGCTGACAACCAGCTCAGAGCCTGGAGCCTGCTTTGGATTCTGTGTCTCCCTCTCTCTCTGACGCTCCCCTGCTCACACTGTCTCTCTCTCTCTTTCTCAGAAATAAAACTTTAAAAAAAAACAACAACCCTGTACTGTAGAGTATATTGAAAAGTTACTAAGAGACTAGATCTTAAAAGCTCTCATCACAAGGAAAACAAATGTGTGATTGTGTGGTGATGAATGCTAGCTAGATTTTATTGTGATGATCATTTCAGTATATCAATTTTGAATCATTATTCTGCATACCTGAAACTGATACAATGTCATATGTCAATTATATATTGTTGCACATGAATTTAGCCTCAGTCTTTCCATCTTAACCCAGAGTTTACCTTCCGGGCCTGCACTCGGAGGGCTACGTGACTATCCTCAGGGGCAAGGAAAAAAACAAGTAAGAGACAAGAGACAAGGGTTAATGTCCCCTGCTAATGGTTGTTTATGACAGTTTGCATACTTGGTCCTTGAGATAATGACTATTCCCTTGAAACTTCCCTACATCCCTAAATCTGTGCCTTGAAAATAGCGAATGTTGTCCTACCTACTGCTCTCTTTATCACTTTGTAGCCTTTTTGCAATAACCGCTCAATTCTGCTTCTGCGCTGCCCGCTTGCCTGCTTGCTCATTATAAAAAGCCCTAAGCCCTTGGACTCGGGACGCACATTTAGAGTTCTGTGTTAATTCTGTGCTGTCCTGGCCGGTAATAAGGACTCCCTTAATTTGGCTTCAGTGGTCTCAGTTGGTCTCTGTGTCTCTAGGCAAAACAATATCAATTTAAAAATGCAAATGCATGTGGAGTATATTTCTAGGATATATGGAGAGCTCAGGAATGGAGACTATGAGAGCAGACACCAACAACACAAACCTACAGCTGTAGAAGAAAACATACGCACCTTATGAATCAAAAATACATGAGCAAGTATTATTTATAGGTGTAATATATGTGTGTATATGTATATATATAATCATATAATATGTACACATACATGATAATGTGTATGTATCTGTACATAAATCCATGTCCGTCTTTGTGTGTGTGTGTATACATTAGGGGTGTTTATATATATGTGTGTAAAAATGTGTGTGTTTATATATGTGTGTGAATACACACTATGTATATAAAATATACAGATAGTGACAGCAAGAGCCTGCTCTTTTCCTAAATTCTACACAGCTTTTTTGCATAGCCATCTGCATGATGCAGAACTAAGAGTGGTAAGAATCCTGGCAGGAAGCTCCTTGGCACTCTCAGCGACTGGGCTCCTCAAACAGACCCCTATGGGCCCCTAATATCGGCGCCAGACACAGGGCAGGGCTGTGATTGCCCTTAGGGAATATCGTTCTCCTAACACGGAAAGCAAGGACTTGGGAATCCATATTCAGTGACTTTAGGTTTGGCACCATTTGCAGTCCCCATCGAAGTTCCCTTCAGTTTGCTCCCACACATTTGAAGCCAGGTCCCTAAAGTCTGCCTTTGGTCTCTATACAGTCCACCCTTCTCAGCCAAGTCCCTGAAACCCCACTGCTCAATGCACCCAACACATCCCGGGGGAAATCACTTGTATATGGATGTCTCTAGTCAATGTAGGAAATATTCCTGGAGACAGAGTTTGAAAGAAGGAGGTCTGCTCCTTGGGAGCCCTGGCCCTTGCCCACTTGACTCTTCTTTTTTGTCTAATCAGCTCCAAATTATGGCTACAAGTGCCCAATATAATCCCCTCTCTGATATTTGGTGAGCAGATCCCACCCCTCCACTTGCAAGCCCCTGACAAGATCTTCATGATAGATTCCATCACTTCCTTTCCCTCATTTACTGGGTGGTCATCTGTCTTTCCTAAAGTCTTTCCTGTGCAGTCTTTTTTTTTATCCACATACGACTCCCAGGGCATTTGGTGGGAGATGGTGTTATGCCTGAATTAGCAAAAAAGAATCAATACAGACAAGGGTGGGACCTTATTAGCACAAAGCAAGTCCAAGGCAAATAGATGTACAAACTACCCTTCACTCCCCACCTTTGAGTAGATCAGATGCATTAGATAAAATTCTAGACTTGGATCGGCTTAGGTGGCCAGAGCTGTGACTCAGGTACACAGTGTTCCTCCTAACTTACAGGAGGTACTGCTCACATCAAAGACAATCCGCTACTTTGGAATGGTACTACATGATACAGCCAACGTGTAGTTCCCGGGTAGAACTTACAGATCTGCCACAATCCAAATCACCATTAAGTTCTAGGCCTTTGAACTTTGTTTTTCTGCTCCTCTGGCCCCCATTCCAGGCCACAACCTCCTCCCCGCTTCCCAAAAGAAAGTGGCCACATAAAAAGAGCTTTCAGCCAGTTACTGCAGATACTCAACTCAGATACCTTCAGAGGTAGGTGGGGGTAAGGGTATTGAGACATGAAATTTTATTTGTGGCTTCTTGAATCAGTTCCCGGCCCAGGTGGTATCGACAATATTTATGTGAGATGGGAATTATTGTCTCTGTTGTCCAAATAAGAAAACTGAGAAGTGACATACCTGTCTGAGGTTCCACAGGTAAAAGGGGCAGACATGAAACAAGATACCAGTATTGCCGACTCTGAATCTAACGCTCTCTCCTCTTAAACATTATCTGGAAAGCCTAGGATGCTGAATTCTGAGGGGAGCAGTAGCTCTGGGTCTCTGTGATGCCTAGGGGCCTTGCACCACCCTACATTCTTTCTCAAACGATGACCAAAGAATCACCCAGAATCCTGTATGTGAGTAGTACCCGGGTTGGGTGTGATTATATTTCTCTTCGCTGGCTCAGTTAGCGCACCTGTGGTGTGCAAAGAAGGGGATTGGATATCCCCACGGTCCTGAACCCCCTTTAAGGGCAAGTAAGGAACTCAGAAAACTGAACTAAGAGTAAGACCTTCTCAATGAACAGATCTCAAAGTTCTGGAAAACTGAAAAGGCAGGTTCCAGGAATCCAGGTCCACTGCAGCGCATGCTCACCTTCACCCAGCTACCTCCTCCCTCATACCCCACCTGTAAGTGGACGACAGAGCATCTGCATTGCGCGTTTCTCTTGCTGTGTGCTGACACCTTCAGAGGTGAGCCAGGCTCCAGAATCGGATATCCTGCCACCTTGAGCTGGTTTTCTTGTGCAAACAATGTGAGTGATTTAAAGGATTTCTGGAAACCTGTCATGCTAAAGACACTTTGCCTTTGCCCTGGAGCTTCAGCAATTAGGTGATATCTTTTGGTAAACATTGCCCAGTGGTAAGTGAAGCCCCAGTACCTTCACCTGGGAGTTTTCCTTCATCCAGCCATGCTGAGGCAAGCTTGTGGGGACAGTTTCTGAATGGAGAATGTTGGAGCGCAGATGTAAGCACCTAAGAGTGTAAGTCCCCCTAACATCTGATCTTTTACATCTTAAAGCTTCTCTCCTCCTTTTGTTTATCTCCATAATCTCCTTTCTTCTTCCCTTCAGGTCTCCTAACTCCAACCTGCTCAAAGTCAATGTGTCAAAGATTCACATGCCTAAAACTTGCATTTTTCCAGCTTCTAAATTTCACTTATTCTGAAAGGAGAATAAGTTTTCAAAGGTCCCTTTGAAACATTTTGCGCCTTTTTTTTAAAAATATTTTTATTTATTTCTAGGAGAGAGAGAGAGAGACAGTGTGAGCAGGGGAGGGTCAGAGAGAGAGGGAGTCACAGACTGAAACAGGCTCCAGGCTCTGAGCTGGCAGTCAGCACAGAGCCTGATGCGGGGCTCGAACCCATGAACCGTGAGATCATGACCTAAGCGAAAGCCGGACGCTTAACCAACTAAGCCACCCAGGCGCCCCTCTCTTGTCTGTATTCTTTATTCAGAATGGCTACTTGTTTCTTTTCTTCTCCTGGAAAATGTAGGTAGGTCCCCCACCTTTTGTGTGACTGCTCAGTCACAAAACATCTCAACTTAATAATTAAATGTGGGGCGCCTGGGTAGCTCAGTCAGTTAAGCATCTGACTTCGGCTCAGGTCATGATCTTGTGGTTTGTGAGCTTGAGTCTCACGTCGGGCTCTGTGCTGACAGCTCAGAGACAGCTCAGAGCCTGGGGCTTGCTTTGGATTTTGTGTCTCCCCCTCTCTCTGCTCCTCCCTTGCTCATGCTCTGTCCTCTGTCTCTCAATAATAAGTACATGTTTAAAAAATTTTTAAATAATTACATGTGCAGGTGCATTTAATTAACCACAACTCCACCAATTGTTGACAACTGTGGAGCAAGTGTGGACTCTCTCCTCCCACAGAAGCTCTAGCTGTGGAAAAGGATGTGGTTAATATCTCCATCTTGGGCTCTTTGTGGTTCTGTTCTGTCACCCCCATCTGGCTAAAAAGCATTTCTGCCTCCTATAGAGTAGAGGCAGGGAGAGCCAGTGGGAGGGAGTAGGGCAGTTCTCACACAATAGATGTAACCGTAAGCTGGCTTTGTGCCGCTGGCACTATTTCATGGGAGATTTCAAGGGTTCACTGCACACACAAAACCCTTCTGGCCATTGACAACTTAGATGTGCCCCAACTGCAATCCTCTTCTCTGTTACTAAAGGCCGCACTGGCCAGATACCTCACCCTTTCCAGTCTTCGGTCATGACTCAGATCTTTGGTATCCCTACAAACTTCTGGAGACACACAGTAAGCTCTATGAGTAGTAGAGCCTTTTCTCTCCATTGGAATTAGAAGACAGCTTCTCTGCTTCCTGAGTAGAGCTTTGTACCAATAAAATCTTTGAAACCTTCTCAACTCCTTCAACTTTGGATCATCTGTTCAGATGAAAGCTTGGAGTTCCTTGACAGTTCTTGGCTGTCAACTTTCTCAAGTCCTATGGAGTAACCTATCTGTCATAACTCATTTTGGATTCACTCTGGCACTCTGTCTTAGGGTCTAGACTAACACGTCCATTATAGTATCCTATTACATATGTTCTTGAGTAAAAAAAAAATCAGGACACTTGATGTGTTCTATTATTCCAAGTTCATCAAAATATTGAGGACAACAAAAAGGATTCACATACACTGGTTATCTCTGAGTGGTGCAATTACTAATGCCTATCTATTTCCTTCTTGTAGTTTTGTTGTTTGACTAGTTATACAAGCTGAAGATTTATTGATTTCTAATCAGAAAAAGCAATGCATTTTTAAACGAAATAATTTTGCAAAAGAAGTGGCATGTAATATGAGATGGGGAAGTAGCCTCGGGAAGCCAATGGCTAGTTTGACATGTTGTTGGGTAACAGAGGGTGAAAAGGGAAAGTAGGAGAAAGAATAACCCAATATTCATGAGCACATTCTCTCTCTCTCTCTGATCCTACTCTCCTTAATTCCTGTTCTACCTCTGGCAGCACTGGGAGAAGACCAGAACTCAACCCAAACACGCATAGAGACCACTATCATGAAGCCTTGGGTTCTCCTACTCAGCATGCTCATCTATGGGGTTTTAATGCCTGTGCCTGTTCTGGGAGACCTCAGGAACAACATTTTTTGTAGGTCGTATGGCAAGGGAAGAGGAAGCTCTGCCCAGGCCTGGGATGTCTGGTGTGTTAACTGATTCAGGGACCACCATTCCCAGATCCCAACCCTCCTTAGAGCAGAGACATCCAAGAAGGATTTTGGTTGGATGTTCCCAATTAAGTGTCCTTCTTGCTCCCCCTCTTATCTCTGAAAGCTAGAGATAAGGGTATATGGAAAGGGAATATAGCTAGTCCATAAGTCCATTCCATAAGCTTGTGGGAAATGATATTTGACAAAGTTAGGCTACCTTAGGCAGGGGAAGCACCAGCACAGAGCCTCCTTGTGAGCCCTTCTTTTCAGAATCTCTGTGCCTTTGATGAATACCAAAAGAGCAATGTTATTTACTTGGAATATGAAAAAATGGAAAAGACAAATAAGGGATCCTTAGAATCTAAGTTTGGGGTCAGAAGATAAAATGGGGATCATAAAGGGAGGGTTGTGGGCCAGTGAAAGATATGGAATCTGGGGAAAGGCTAAGTGTTTAGGTGGTACCAGCGTGGAAGCAAATGGACAATGGGAACTATAGGTGCCTATTCTCCCCCAGCTCACTTTTCCATTCTGCATATAGTGTGTGGAAATTGGAGCTACAGAATGTTTCGGACCCTGAAATCCAACATCCTCTAAGAGTAGACTTGGTGAAGTGGTGCCATAAATGCTGAGGTTGTCCTGGGTCTTATCTTTAGGGAGCTTGGGGAGAGCCTGAAGGCCTACAGGACTGTAGGGACATGGGGAAAGAGGGAAGGTATGTCATGCAAGAATGGTCTCCTGTGAAAAGACACAACTAGAATTCAAGAAAAGGTTTTTCTTAAAATGCAGAGAAATATTTTCTTTGTGACTTCAAACTCCGGTTCCAGAGCTCAGAGATTGTTAAGCTTGAGAAGAGTTTCTTCTCTAAGTTGTGGGTGGCTGGATCTGCCAACATCTGTATCTCAGTTCCAGTGGGAAGAACAGAAATTGTGCAGTGCTGGGTACAGCCTCTGTTAAAGTACTGTGTGAAGAGGTGCACTAAATTGCAGGAGTGTTTATCTCCCAATCATACATGCTGCTGGACCTTCTGTGGAAACATCTGCTTGGACAATGAGTGAGTTGGCTGGAGTGGGAAGGTCAGGCCCGGACATGCTTTCTCACTACAGGTCACCCTCATTCAGAAGCTGTGACCTGGAACAGAGGTCACACAATGTCCTACTATCTCTGTACCTAGGCTGACATTCAGGACAAAATAAATCAAGACACAAACATTGGGGGGGGGGCTCCACTTTTCTTCCTTCACTTTCTTTAAGTTCCCCCAAAGGTTCACCCTTCACTTATTCATCCCTCCTTAACCATGGCCCCAAATATGGACTCCTTAGTCTGACCTCCCCATTGGTCCTTTGTCTCAAGTAGGCCCAGAAGACCCAGCCTCCCCCTGTCTGCTGAATTGGCAAACCTCTTGGGAGAAATTGCTTAACAGTGGGTAACCCCTGAATTACAGAAAAAATCCCTTTTCTCATTAACCAGGGCCAGGGGTGTTGTTAAGTTTGGAAATGGATGTTCCCTAAAAGTTCCCTGACTTTTAACCACTTGACTTTTCTCTTCCAGAGAACCCTTCAAATCCATGATGAAGCCTAGGCTCTAGCTGCCCCACCACTGGTGTGGGCCAGTGGATGCCTATGTAGTCTAAGAAGAGTGCTACCTGGCTCCCTGCTGGGTTATTCCCTTGCCCTGGCTGAGGACCATTCTATTCTCCCCTTGATCTGTCTATCCTGAGAAGACTCAAGTCTCTGCCAAATAAACTGATAACCAACCCGAGGGCTCCACATTGTGTTATCCGCATTCCTGTGGTTCCGTTTGTCTCCTTACAGTGATCAGACGGTTCCTCTCACCCCACTATGTGTTACAGACACTCAACTCTACCTTCCCAGTTAGACCTATATAGTAGTCAGTAGACTCACGGCTGTAGCAAAAATGCAGGATTTATAAAAATGTCAGTAAACACAATTAAAGCTTATTCTCATTCACAATACATTCCACTGAGGGTGTTGGGTGAGCACCCCCACTCCATGCATGATTCTAGCACCATGCATCTTTCTATCCATAAGTCCATCATCTCCCAGAGCCTCTTCTGCATCCAGCCAGCATATGGGAGAAGGTTGCATGGAAGCACCTACAGATGGCTTTTAAGAGCCAGGCCTAGAAATGGAGCTCTGCTTCCATCCGCACTCTATTTGCCATAATGTGGTCACTTGGTCCCCTTATTTGCAAAGGAGACTGGGAAATACAGTCTAACTCTATGCCCAAGCAGAACAGAAAGCAGGATTTGGTGCGTACAGGGTGGTCTCTGACCTGTCTACTTATGCAAAGCCCAACTCCTCAAGCAAGACCCAAGACCTTGGCCTCCACGTCACAGCAAAATGGAACAAGCATCCCCCCTCTCGGGAAGCTGGTGGCTCCTGTCATTAGAGAAGGTGTTCCTGCCCTCTAGGTGGGCACTCTGAGCTTCCAGAATGATCCTCTTTCTGCCTCCTTATTTCCTCTTCTTGCTGCCTCTTTTGTCTGCCTGGTAGCTTTACCTGGGTGATATGAGTCACAGCCTGAGATGTCTGATAACGCCAGGCAGGCTTTCCAGCCCATAGTGTTCCCTTCGACTAAATGAGAATACACTATATGTTATATTATATTCCACCATTCATATCTTGAAGATTATTTTTTTTTTTATTTTTTTATTTTTGGTTTTGTGTTGTGTTTTGTGTTGTGTTTTTTTTTCTATTTTGTTTCTTCTGTCAGTACAGAGTCTGAGGCAGGGCTCGATCTCACAAACCATGAAATCATGACCTGAGCCAAAATCAAGAGTCAGACGCTTAATCGACTGAGCCGTCCAAGCTCCCCTTGAAGATCATTTAAAGATATGCCTTCCTTTGGATGAGGAGATTATAAAGTCCCTACGATGTATTCCTATCTGTGACTCTTCCTGACCCAGAGAACAATATTTATATTCATTTGGATGGGCTGAGTCAGCACATCACACTTATAAGCGGTGGAGCCCAGGAAAGGGTCCACAATGCGATACAGCAAAGACCAAGGCCAGCAAGGATTAAGGCCTAACAGAAAAATGGTTAGTGCCTTAGAGCTCAGAGTAAGGGAAAGTCACAAGGATTCTGGGGCTCAGGCCAACACCCTTCAGGAGCGGGGCTTTGTCTTAACGTTCAGGGATAAGGGGGACTTGGAGCTCGAGTGAGTGAAAGTGGTTATTCCTTCAGGACCAAAGAAGTCAAGAAACACAAACGTGTAGGGACGCCCAGTGGAAGGATGAGGGAAGGAAGGTATTGTCCTCTTGCGTATCCAGGACAGTATAGGCAGAAAAAGTGTTTTTTCCTGTCCCCTTCTGGGTTCTTGTCTGCAATAAAAGACAGATTAGCAGAAGAAAAACAAAGTGAATTTTCCCAACATGGATACGTCCAGTATACATGGGAGAGACCAGGAAAACTTAGTAAGTCCCCCAGATGGCCCGAGCCATCTCCTCTAATGGCATCTTCAGCTGAAGACAAAATGATATGGGAAGGAAGGGTAGGCCAGTTATGGGAAGTCACCAGGAAAGGCCCAGTGAACGAAGGTATGGTTGTTATGCAGATTTCTCCTGCAGGCTTCCATTCATAAAGACTTTCTAGGGGCTGAAAGTAATCCTTGCTTCCACTTCCAGAGAGGAGGACACCTTACAAATGGAGATTTGCCTCCCACATGTAACTGTCTCTTATGAAGGGGAGAAAATGTTGCCAACCGAAGGTCTGCCTCTATGGTATCTTCATTATTTTAACTGGTTATTTTTAAGAAACAGCAGACGCTGGTGAAGCTCTGAAAACTGAATAGAAGTTGCCTTGTTGCAACAGATTGTTTAATGCAATTCTGGGTCGTTGAGAGGTGGAAGGGAGAGAAGATGTGTTGCCCCAGGCGAGCAGTTGCTGAAATTTGGAACCTAAGAGACGGAATGTAGCTCAGGGGACACGTGTGTCCAGTCAAGGAGCAGTGGATGGAGGAGAGGAGGCAGAACCAGATGGGGCCGTGAGAGACCAGTCACGTGTTTGCAACTCCACACCCCAGAGCCCTTCACTACCCCCTGCAGGACCTGGTGAAGTGCTGGGTCTCCTGCCAGACTCACGCTCAGACATCCAGAGTTAACATCATGAAGTGGTTGTTTCTCCAGCTGCTGACACTCTGCTGCCTGGTGATCTTGCCAGTGGCAGGAAGTTTTAAAAGCAAAACGGAGACTACAACTCCATCTCCAAAATTCAGTAGGTATTCTGGTGGAGCTTCAAAATGAAGAGGGGGTTGAAAGCAGAAGAAACAGGGACTGACTGACATATATGAAAGCACTGGTTCCTTCTGTAAACCAGGATACTGTGGAAAGCTGAATGTGCACTTCTCAAGTTTGAGGGTCTCCTGATGCTACAAGTAATGATGTTTTTATGTGTGTTGTGAGGACTGTGGTGGCTACAGGACATTTTTTGGAAGATTACTTTAGCAGTGAAAATCTTCACAAGGTTCAAAACCTACGTGGAAGGTGCCTAGACTGAGCCACTAGGTGTTTATGACTCCAGTTAGGAGTTCCAAGCATGAGTACCAAATTGGGAATGGGGTACTAACTATTTCTTGATATATGCCCTTTGCTTAGGGAGTTGGGTATTTTAGACCATTGGGCATGTAGAGGAGAAATCAAATGCATGCTTGACCAAGAGAAGTTTGGAATCGGTGGGGTAAAAAATTGAAATCAGCACAATTGAGGGGAGCGATGTGGGTCCGTAACTGGTGGT